TGGTGGTGGGGGTGGGGGGCTGGGTGGGGAGGGGGGGCATAAGGATCATAGTGGCTTTTTATGCTGAAATTATCATCATCATCATCACCAGAAAAACTGGGGAGATAATTTATACTGTTCTACAGCAAAGGATGAGACACCATAGGGATAAGATTGGCTTTTATGCTGAAATTATCATCATCATCATCACCAGAAAGACTGGGGAGATAATTTATACTGTTCTACAGCAAAGGATGAGACACCATAGGGATAAGATTGGCTTTTATGGTGACTTTATCATAATCAGAGAGCCTGTGAGTTCATACTTAGTATACCCAGATTTAACACAATGACATACGGCAAAGAATCCTTGTCATATCTTGGGCCAAAAATATGGAATGATCTCTCCAATGACTTAAAGCAAAGCATCAATTCAAATGAGTTTAAATAACTTTTAAAGGGTTCGGGAAGGACCCAAATGCAGATGTAGCCTGTGTAACCTATATGCTTTTAGTGAAACTGCGTAATAATACGACATGTTTACATTTAAAGCTGGCAGGCTAAAGGGTGCAGGTTTAAAAAAAATGAATGAATGAATAAATACCACTCAATATGTACTTTCTATGCTCTAAATTCAAATAGAGGACGCCCCTCCCTCCCCTTTGTTTGAAATTTAGTTTTAAATTTAGCTATATATGTCCACTCTTGTAGTGTTTGGCTCCACTACAAACCACACCTTCATATTGCATTATGCAACTTTTTGAAGCTGTTTTCAGTCACGTTTTTAATGATAGAGAAAGGCACTTGCTTACATATATCAGTACTAAAAATGCCTTCATCTGGCACTTTTATTTACACCTTTTTTTGACACCTGCCTACTATCATTATGGTGATTATATTAGATATCAAACTAAAAGGAAGGCAAATAGACATGCACATAACAGGAAACCAATTACTGTATGCTGATTTTTCATAAGGATCTTGCCTTTTTACCAAGCAAAACCACACAAAATATTTCTATAAAAGCAAAAATTATTTTATCAGTTAAAAGGTGAACGACAGATGTGAGGAAAGCATACACACTGATCAGAACATACACAGATACATTCAATATCTGTATCCAAAAATGTAAAAGGGCAAATGTACAATTTTTCATGCTACTCCTAGTACTTAGAAACAGGTCTCAAGTGGTCAATACTGAATAAAACAGACTGTGTGTTTTGGATACATATATGCATAAATATACTAGCTGGTGTTTTTTTTAATTTTTTTTAGACCTCTGAATTTGTAACAAGATTTACTCACCCATTCTTATTAGAGAAGATTCTGCATTATTCTGGAAGAAAAAAAAAGATATTCCATACACACTAGGCCAACATTCATTTGTTATCTGAATAATTATAAAATAACCACAGGAGCTATTGTGAATATTTTTTATCAAATATTGACGAATAATGCATCCCTGATCCGTTACTTTTTCAAATTTTACCAGGAAAAGAATTTTGTGACAATTACAGAGGCATAAATTTTATGAATATGGATCAAATTCACTTTCACCAATCCTGCAAATGGAGTGAAAAAGTTTGAAGTTTGCAGTTGTAGCAAGTCTTGATAATAAACAGTAAAAAAATCTTAATTTTTGGCATACAATATGTAGGATGCAGTTAAAATAAAGCCTTAAGGTTGCTCAACATGAGTATAATGTGAAACCTCCACGTCAAAACTTGCTCATACTTTGTCATTTCCACATTTCCATGACAGTAATTATCTTTATTGACTTTGTTTTGAAATGATATTGAGGGACACCTTATAGACTACTAGAGCAAAGCCTGGACTTACCCTGGCTGGTGGTGGTGTCACATGATAGGTCAGAAGGTCTCTAAAGTGGGTTTCATCCAGTATAACATGATAGCTACCTGACAATTATAAAAGTTAATTCACACATAACAATAAAGTAATATTTTCTTCAATCAACAACTATATATTGAAATAGTTAATTACCTCCAATATTTTGATGTTTATCAGGTGCGGGTGAATAGCCTCCATACAGGAGATATACTTGCCCCCCCCCCCCCAC